CCGCTGTACCCGTTGTGGCCTCCTCTACATCGGGGAAACCAAGCGGAGGCTCGGGGACCGCTTTGCAGAACACCTACGCTCGGTTCGCAATAAACAACTGCACCTCCCAGTCGCGAACCATTTCAACTCCCCCTCCCATTCCTCAGACGACATGTCCATCCTGGGCCTCCTGCAGTGCCACAACGATGCCACCCGAAGGTCGCAGGAACAGCAACTCATATTCCGCTTGGGAACCCTGCAGCCCAATAGTATCAATGTGGATTTCACAAGTTTCAAAATCTCCCCTCCCCCTACCGCATCCCAAAACCAGTCCAGCTCGTCCCCGCCTCCCTAACCTGTTCTTCCTCCCACCTATCCCCTCCTCCCACCTCAAGCCGCACCCCCATCTCCTACCTACTAACCTCATCCCGCCCCCTTGACCTGTCCGTCCTCCCTGGACTGACCTATTCCCTCCCTAACTCCCCACCTACACTCACCTTTACTGGCTCCATCCCCGCCTCTTCGACCTGTTTGTTTCCTCTCCACCATCCATCTTCTATCCGCCTCCCACTCTCTCCCTATTTATTTCAGAGCCCCCTTCCCCTCCCCCTTTTCTGATGAAGGGTTTAGGCCCGAAACGTCAGCCTTTCTGCTCCTATGATGCTGCTTGGCCTGCTGTGTTCATCCAGCCGTGCACCTTGTTGTCTCTAACATCCTTTTTTTACCAAAGGGCAGTGATCTCTGCCCTAGAATTAGACAATGACTGAAATGTTGTAGAATGCAAAATAACTTTTTATAAAGCAATTCTACCTACAAATCATTTTCTTGCAGACCAGTTGCTGCGGATGAATCATTAAGGGCATGAAAGAGAGTTTGCACAGGCCAAAGGCAAATTACAGTGAAACGCCCAATTGAAATATTTACTAAGCATTTGGAATTAGATGTCAGCAGTCTAGACATGTTTAACCCCATAGGGTATACTGCAGATGACTTTTTAATTCTCCATTTTCTTTGTTCAAAGAAAACAGAATCTGTTAAATATTTTGCATGCCTCCACCTGTCCCCTTCAACGTTCCCCTTCCTTGTGAAGGTAGAGACTTCTTTGAAAGCTTAGCTTCAAACAAGTCCTATTTGGTACTGTCAAGCAGCCATTCCTTTTGTGTTGACAGGAAATGTAATTTCTGTAAAATGGACTATTATTGTCAAGTCCAATCCTGCCCTAACTGACATGTAGCAGATATGCATCGGAGGTGCTAGAATCTAGAAGACCTTCCCCTTCATATCCCAGTTAAACTAATTTCATAGGATGCAATAGAGAATTTAGCACAAACCTGCCACAAACTCAATTCCCTAGAGACTGAGTCATCTCTTTCGCCCTGGGAACTCTCTAAACAGTACCCAAGCTTGGTGTCATCTGTCTGCATGGTGAATTTCTGGCATATATCCAGGCCATCACCAAGACCAGATAAGACAGAACATCTTCTGAATCTACCCTGCCCAAAATCATCTACCGACAAAACCCTCTTGCGTGCTTTTTGACCTCCCGATCTCCTTATTCCAACAGACTCATGCCAGTATCCAACAATCTGTCTATAATACTTAGTCATCCAAAGAATTCTGCTATCCAAGTTCTTACTTGCATTTAGTCCTGATCATCCATTACCCCTGTACTTACATACCTACTCTTGCTCTTAGAATCATAGAATCCCTACAGTGTGGAAGCAGGCCATTCTGTCCATCAACTCTACATTGCCCCTTTGAAGAGCATCCCACCCAGACCCCTACCCTATCCCTGTAACCCTGTACTTTTCCAAGGCTAATCCACCTAGCCCACACATCCCCAGACACTTTGGGCAATTTAGCATGGCCAATCCACCTAACTTGCATATCTTTGGACTGTGGGAGGAAACCGGAGCACCCGGAGGAAACCCACGCATACACGGGGAGAATGTGCAAACTCAACACAGACAGTCGCCCAAGGCTGGAATTGAACCCGGGTCCCTGGCACTGTGAGGCAGCAGTGCTAGCCACTGAGCCACCGTGCCGCCCAAACAGTTAGTCAAACAGCTCCTGGATTATAAAATTCTCCTTATTTTCAAATTTTTCCATAGCCTCATTCTTTCCATCTTTAATCTTCCCAAGCTTTTAACTTGCCCAGGCATCTGTACTTCTCCAATTCTTGCCTCTTAAACATCCCCAATTATAATTGTTCCACAGTTGGTGGCTGTGTCATAAACGCTGAAACTTTCTCCCCTAAAACTCTCCACTTCTCTTTTCTGCTCTAAAATCATCCTTAAAACCTACATCTTCAACTAAGCTTTAGGGTTGTTTGAGGGTAGATAACATGTGAGTCAAGTTAAATTGTGCTATACACTCCTTTGAGGCACCTAGAAATGGTTTATCACATTAAAATACTAAAAGACATTATATATAAAACACAGGTTTTTGACGTTGAATAATCCTGGGACTTAAAGATGTAAAGGAATCAATATCCAAAGACCTGACTTACCAGAAAATAAATAAATTTCCCACAGTACACAGGAATGAGGATTTTTTTTTTAAAAATGGAGAGATTCCTGTTCCTGAAATCTTTCCATAGTTTCCTCCTGGAAAAGGCACAATACCCTGAAACATACCAGGTGTCAGCTCAGTTCCAATAAACATGTGCTATAAGGAGGAAAAAAAACTTGCACTTCTAATGTCTTCCCTGAGCATAAGTCATCCAAACGAACTTTACGGCCAATGAAGTTTTGTTGTGAAATGCAGTCACCTGTTCTAATATAAGAAAACTGGCAACTAATGTGCACACAGCAAGCTGCCACAAACAGTGCTGTGACAATGACCAGATAATCTGTTTCTGTATAAAGTATTATTAACAATATGAGGGTTTTCCTTAAAATTGCCCCATGGATTTGTTACATCCACATAAGAGATTAGAATAGCCCTTGGTTTAACAGCTCCTCTAAAGATGGCATCTCCAACAGGACACCACTTTCTCCAAAACTACACAACTGTCTGCCTTGATTTTGTGCTGGAGTCCTAGAGGTGGATTTGAACTCTCAACTCCGGCGGAGACAGCACTACCAATGAAGCCAGTTGACAGTTGGATTTAAAAATAATGGACACCCATAACCAGCAAAAAGTCAGCCGATTCTGCAGAGGAAGACAGAAATCACTTTGTAAAACAAAAGTTGAGCTTTCTTTCAACAATCAACTTTGTTGCTGAAAGTGTTGAAGCAAGTGAAATATTGCAATTAATTGCTTTGGGGCTGAGCTGAAACTGACTCTTCTTTCAAAATCTCCCAGCATGATTCACTGAGAATATTGCCTGTGTTCAAAAGAACTGGAATTAATCACTGTAGCTTATCTCTAGTGCACACAAGAGGCAGAAAAAGCATACGCTTCCAAATATTTTTACAGCAAATGCATACATCTCACACTCCAGCTCAGAGGCTTTAGAAGCAAGGAGGTGAACTCTAATTGAGCAATTAGCTCAGCATTGTGAAATAAACAAGTGCCCCTGCTATTTTCTGAGACTATTTTGAGATTGACCTGAAGTGCTTTTCATCAACATCTCCAGAGGCAGCTGCATCATAAACAATGCAGTTGCTGGCAGAGACCATTACCATTGCTAGTTTTAGATGCAATGAGCAACCACATTGCCCAGGCTAGAAACACAGTTCTATTACCAACCTATAAAAGCTTTCCAAACTGATCCAAGATCCAGTCAACAGCAATGGGTGATTTTGTTCTCCTTAATTTGCATGAGCATTGTTAGCCTAATGAGAAACTATTTAATATCAACAGAGCGATCAAACTTGATACCCTTCTTAACGATAGAGGGAGCAGTCTGGCCTACACACTTCATATAATAAATTACTTCAATTTCTTGCCCTGCATGGATATAAAGTTTCTGATGAGAAATTCACAATAAAAAGGATACAGCCAATTCAGTACCAACATCAGTGGCCCAAATACTGTAGAATGGGTTGGTCAGTTGCACACCCCTGTGAGAGGATTAAAAAAAACTTGAGGACAAGTTTGTGAGGAAAGAAAATTCTGTACTTGAAACATAACATTTAACTGTAAAGAGAAAGCTATTGTAGACATGCTTGGCATATTTTGGTTTTAATATGCAGCTTGGGGAAAGATTATGCAATTATTTTAGAATGTTTGCTCCAGAATCTCCAGGAGAGTGAGAGACAGACACACATTCACACGCATGCAGAAACAGAGCAACCAAGGTGGAGTGAGCAAACACATGACACGGAGGCCGAGCGAGCAAGTGCAAGAGGGAGCAGGAGGATACACCATAGCAAAAAAAAAGCTAACAGTCAGCCTAGTTCTGGTGGCAAGATGCAAAAATGGCTGGGTTAGGTATCCAATTACATAGCAACCAGTCTTGGCTGTTGGTTTCTCAATGTTGCCAGTAGAAAGCAGTGCTCACAGCTCAAGGAATCCAATACTCGTGATGGATTCCATGTTAATCAATGCCCTTACGTAATATCATATTTTCAGGCTGTTAACTCACTGCTCAGTTGCACAGACCTTCCTTAACACTCAGGAAGTTTGGTGAACAGCAAACAATGGAGAATTTTTTTAACAAGTGGTACATATAAGCTTTCATATCCCTGGGACTTTACCAGTCGCCACTGGAATACTAACTGTACTGGAAAATGAAATGGGCCACAAAATCTCCAGTAAAATGTGCCAAAGTCGATTGTGCAAAGTCCTGAATCTTTAGTACCTACTTCTTTATCCATCCAAAATTAACAAAGATTACATTTCATGGAGTGATTAAATACACAAAATCAGCACAGGGTACCTCATTCTATCATCTCTGTCCAATCAGTAATGATACATGTGCCAAGCAGAGAGAGCTAGAATGGTCATAAAATCCATGTCAGTGGCTGCAGAAAACTGAACCACTCACTGAATGTGTAACAAATATTTACCTCTCACAAAGGTCAAAAATGAAGAGGCAGAAGGAACCAAAACCAATTGGCACAATTTGCTTCAGGTAAACAGACAGTCGATTCCGCTCATTCTGGTCCTAGGGACAGAACACAATGCAATGATGGTACACATTAACAAGAAATTAATCCGACTACCGAAATGAAAAACTCAAGACTTTCAACAAGAAATAGGAATTTCTCAATGGTCCAAAGTAACATTGTGTCAAGAAACCTAACAGATTCTGGGTTTAATTTCCAAGCTGCACGGAGTTATCCAAACTCTGCTGGGATTCTAATTTATCCTGGGGTTGTGGAATTTAAAATAAAAGTTAGCCAGTGAATTACATTCTCAAAATCCTCTTAGAAGATATCCATGTTTGCATTCAAAGGTTCCAATTGACAAATAACCTGTTAATGCTTTGGGGTCAGCACTGAAATTAACCACTAGGCTAAGTATCAGAAGGCTCTTGATACCTACAGAATGGTAACACCACAGGTCAAGTCTTTGAAATTAAACAGGAGTAAAAAACTCACTACTCCCCAACCTCTAGCCCCATAATCCCCTCTCACTGGCACCACATTTAAAATTAGCCAACACAAAGCTAATTGGTCTGCTTTCTTTTGTGCAGATAGTACAAGATTGGAGTTGCAACAAAACTCTGGACATACAGCCACTGTGAAAATGTACATCCTTTAAAATGTAATGATTCTTGGACTTTGTTTATTCTACTTTCATACACATGTCTGCATGATTCAAAATCCAGATGATGAATTTTGCAGCAGTGAGACAGTCTGATACCCAAGGAGAAACAGATAAATGTTAAAATAGTATATTTATGCTCAAGGCAAAGGATCTAGAACATACATCATGTACTTTAAGTTCATATAGAGCAGCTAAATTTTGAGTGAAGCTCTCCCTTTCATCCAACAATGCACTTAATAACTAACCTCATTAATTTCATTGAAACACCTGTGCTCTTCAATATTGTCAACTTACAGGTCAAAACAAAGGACAGTTTTACAGAACAATTGTGTGAAATATCAGTTTAACGGCATCCTCCTACAGCAATGTAACTATCTTTGCATCTTCCCCGCAGTGACATTCACTTAGCCATTCCTGAGATAAGGAATCAAAAGAAAAAGAAACAGGGAAAGAGAACCATAAGTGGAAAAAGGAGGAAGCTGTTGATTTTGTTATTGATAAAGTGTAATTTTCCTCCCACAACAACATTAGTAATGCACTACAGACAGTTGATTCACTGAAGTTCCAAATTGTATTTAAGAACCTATTTATCAGATAATACTGTGCCCAGTTAGCAAAACCTATAAGCCTGTCATTATAATAAACTGTGGACTTCAGACTTCAACCATTGCTTTTGAATCAATTATTACAAAATATAAATTTTGCTGAATGCTCAGGAGGGAAGTGAGGCTCTAAAAGTGGGGGCGGCGTTGGCCCAATGGTATTATCGCTGGATTGTTAATTCAGAGACTCAGATAACATTCTGGGGACCTGTGTTCGAATCCCACCAAGACAGATGGTGGAATTTGAATTCAATAAATATCTGGAATTAAGAATCTAACGATGACCGTGAATCCTTTGTCGGAAAAACCCATCTTGTTCGCTAATGTCCTTTAGGGAAGGAAATGGCCATCCTTACTTGGTCTGGCCTACATGTGACTCCAGACCCACATCAATGTGGTTGAATCTGAACTGCCCTCTGGGCAATTAGGGATGGATAATAAATGCTGCTTAACCAGCGACACCCCTCATCCAGTGAATGAGGTAAGAAAGGAAAAAAAAATTACATTCTACAAATCCATCACCATGAAACAAATCTAAAATGGAAACAAAAAAGTTAACAGCCAAGCAATCCCCATGAATTCAACCAGTTCTGAGGAATGGTCACTGGACCGGAGATGTTAACTGCTTTTTTCCTTCACAGATGCTGCCAGACCTGCTGAGCTTTTCCAGCAACTTTGGTTTTGTCCAATGAACTCATGTTCAGAAGCACCAGACACTCCTGCAAATGGTTCCTGTGCCTTACATTCAGAACTGACCAATACCTAATCCTATAACAGTTTAACCAATTTGCTCAATCTCACAAGATTGACAATTCCTTTGAGCAACATTTTAACACCACAGACAACAACTGCATTAGTTATAATTAAAATTCATTAACTTTAAACACCTGCTGTGACAAAGATGAAAAGTAAACCACGCCTCCCATCCTGGGTAACAGTTTATGCACACTTGCTTAGGGTTTGTTTTAGCACTGAAGAACACTAAGACTTCCATAGGCTGGGTTGTCATAAAAGGCAAGAAGTTGCCCCTCTCAGCAATTGACTTGAATGTGTAAGTTGGGTTCTCTATCCAACAAAGTCGAAGAGTTACCAGCTAATTTGTTCTCCTCCCTTAGCCAGTACAATCAATTATACCAGTTCCAACAGCATCCCAATTCCATAAGTTTCTCAGGCATAGAGTCATAGAGTTGTACAGCATGGAAACAGACCTTTCGGTCCAACCAGGCCATGCCAAGTGTAATCCCAAACTAAACTAGCCCCACCTGCCTGCTCCTGGTCACTATCCCTCCAAACCTTTCCAACTCATGTACTTATCCAAATGTCTTTTAAATGTTCTAATTGTACCCATATCCACCACTTCCTCAGAAAGCTTATTCCACATGCAAACCACCCTGTGTAAAAAATTTGCCCCTCATGTCTTTTTTAAAATCTCTCTACTCTTATCTTAAGAATGTGCCCCGTAAGCTTGAAATCCCCCAATCCTAGGGAAAGGACAACTACCATTAACTCTATCTATACCTCTCATTATTTTATAAACTTCTATATGGTTGCCTCTTAAATCTCCTACACTCCAGTGAAAAAAGTCCCAGCCTAATTATAATTCAAACCTTCCATACCTGGCAACATCCTGGTAAATCTCTTTTGAACCCTCTCCAGCTTAATAATATCTTTCCTATAACTGGGTGACCAGAATTTGACCCCGTATTCTAGAAGAGGCCTCACCAATGTCCTGTACAACCTTAACATGACTTCCCAACTGCTAAACTCAAAGCATAACCTAGAGATTTCCCAAAACGAATAGGTGACTTATTTTGACATATCTTAAAATATTGATGGGCTAAGAAAGTAGGTAAAAGTTTGGCAAGTGGAATATAATGCCAGAAAATGCAAAGTTTGTTCATTTAGGAAGGGAGAACAAAAGAACAGAGTATTATTTAAATGGAGAAAAGCTGCAATCCAAAGCAAGGTACCTGTGCACATTGGCCCTTATTTCAAAGGGGTTAGGGTATAAAAGTAGGGAAGTCTTACTGCGACTGTACATGGTGCTGGTGAAACCACATCTGGAGTACTGAGAGCAGTTTTGGTCCCCTTTTTTAAGAAAAGATATCATTTCATTGCAGGCAGTTCAGAGAATGCTCACTGGGATGATCCCTGGTATTCAGGGATTGTCTTATGAGGAAAGCCATTTCACTCTATTCAATGAAGTTTAGAAGAATGAGAGGTAATCTCATTGAGACACAGGATTCTTAAGGCGCTTAACAGGCTAAATGCCGAGAGGCCCCTCATGGCAGAATCTCAGACAGCATAGTCTCAGAATAAAGGGATGCCAATTTAAGACTGAGATGAGGAGGAATTTCTTCGGAGGCTCGAGTATCTTTGGAAACACTTGCTACAGAGGGTAGCAGAGTCCTTATGTATATTCAAGGCTGAGAAAGATTGATTCTTGATCAGTAGGGGCATCAAGGGTTACTGGGAAGACAGGAAAATGAATGTAAGGAATATCAGTTAAGTCATGATCCTATTGAACAATGGAGCAGGTGCAAATGGTTGAAAGGCTATTCCTGTACCAATTTTTTACGGTCCTATGGGTATAATGTATCCAGGACAACCTTTGCTTATCGGCTCTGTTCAAAATGGTATATGGCAAACTATATCCTGCAAATTTCTTGCCTCCAAGTTTTGAAGTCGAATGTAAAAACTCCTCCCCTTGGATAAACATGTCTCTAAAATAGTCAGTCTCTGTTTGAATTGGAGATAAAAATAAATAACTAGGCAACTTTTGAAGCTGAGCAAGTGTACTTCACAGAAAACTAACCATAAGGTGCTCTCCACAGAAGATAATCCAAAATGACAGCAACATCGCATAGAAGATTCCCTGTCGAATGTCACCAAACAGCAGCATCCACGTCCAGTCAAATCCAATGGAAAACCATTCCACTGGGATATTTATAAAGGTCATTGAAATTCCAAGTGCAAAGATTACTCTGTAAATAAAATATGAACAACTTTTAAAAATTCTACTTCAGCAAAAGCATTTCATAAAATTGTTTAGAAAGCTAAAAATGGATGAATGCCTGCTTGCATTCCCAATACAGAAGTGCTTCAATCCCCACCCATTTTCAAAACTTCACTATTAAAAACAAAATCAATGATGTTTGTGTATATAACTATCCATTTTAGTAGCTTTTGAAAAAAATCCTTCCACCGCTTATCACAACTTTCCAGCAAAAACAGTTCATCTGCAGATTTGAATCTTGGTGAAAAAGAAAATTACCTTACTTTGTGTCACACTGTGCCCAGATAGTACATTAAACACTTTACTCCAATTGACTATTTTTCCACATATTAGCATACTAAAAATGGCATTACTTCAAACGTTTCCAGAGGCACACCTACCAATTGAGCTCCTGAAGCAAATATTTTCAACAACTTAATTTTTTAGTTTCCATTTTTGGAACACTTTTTAGTTATCTGAATATTTAATCCCACCTCTGACACTAACCAATTGCAAATGAGAGCCCAAACAGATGCGAAGCACATTTGCTAAGGGCCACAGAAGAAGTGCAAAGTGAGTCACATTTTACAACAGTTGGAGGACAACTACAGTAAAACAGCTGCTATGAACAGTCAGCATGAAAAGCAGCAAATAAAACTACTAAAAATAAACATATTAGCCAGCCCGCAGAGCTCCTTCAGTACTGGACTTACTTCTCTAAAAGAACAGGGGGCCTAGTCATCATTGTAATACGTCTCCAATACCAGATCATAATGATAAGAATACTTGGAGTAAGAAAGGTTTTCATTGCAAACCAGACCCTTGTGAATCCCCCATTCTGATGGATTCCCTGCATAAAGAAACAAATTGTTAAAGATTAGTTTAAATAAAGCAAAACGACAGGTTGATAACAAACAAAATTTTAATTAAGCTTCTCAGAACTTCTCCAGACTACATATGGCATTAAATTTAGCATAACACCAACCAGTCAGGCTCAAAATACCCTCCGTTCAATTACTGGATAATGGTACATTATATGTAACAAGATAGAAGCAGGCCATTCAGCCCAAGTGGTAGATTGCAATGTTCATATTCCACACTAGCTTCCCATCAACTTCTTCACTCCATATGCAGAACAATTCCTTTATCTTTGTATTATTTATCTTTCTATGCATTCAGTTAATTTACTTAAACAATTCTTTATGCTAGCAGGTTTCACATTCGATCCCCTCTCTCAGCAATGAAGTTTGTTCTGATTTCATTGGAGTTTAGTGACTATCTCAGTTACGTCCTACCCCCTAGCCCCAACAAGTGGAAGCACATTTATCTATCAAACCCTTTAAGATTTTGGAAGGCATCTATTAAGTCCCCTTTCCTCTTTCTAGAAAGAAAAGTCCCAGCTTGTTCAATTGGTGATTCCTACCAGAGGCCACAAGTTCTGACAGAGGAATGATTTTAGCCACATTTCTGTATTGGCTAAGTGACCAAGGCTGGCAATTAAATAGTCATGAATATTTGTTCTTTCAGAAAAAGAAAAAAGGTGGTTGTGTTAATAAATAAACAACACCCTGGGAGGAAATTTCCTTGGCTTGCAAGATCAAATTATAAAATTAGGTTGGCTGGAGATAGGCAACTGCAAGGGAAATAAGTCACTGGTGAAAGCAGTTTACATAACGGGCTTGTATTGCAACAGTGGTGCATGGTTTTAAATCTTCAAACAGATAGGGTGGATCAAATTGTTAAACGTATCTTGAAGGCTAAGGTGTATATCAGACAGTTTTAGAATAATACATTACAGAACCAACTGGGAAACAGGCAATTTTAGACCTGGTAATCTGTGAAAGAGATGGGAGTAGTTTATAGAAACTTAGGCTAAAATAGCCTGCTTCGCCATTCAATAAGATATTGGTTGATCTGGTTGTGGTCTCAATTCAACTTTCCTGAATGTACACCATAACTCTGTTACCGAAAACCAACAATTAAAGATCAGTCTCACTACCTTCTGAGGAAGAGAATTCCACGCTAACAACCCTAAGAATAAAATCTCCTCATTGCCTTAAAAGGTAAGCCTCTTATTTTTAAGACTACATCCTCTAATTTTAGTCCTGGCTGACAAATGTAAACATCCTCCCGACATCCACCCTGTCCTCCCAAGATCTGATTCAATAAGATCACCTCTCATTCTTCTAAATGCCATGATCTCACTGTGAAAGGATCCTATGGGCAAAGTAATCATTACATCAGTTTGAATGCAAAAAACTGGATCTGAAACCAGTATCTTAAAGGCAATTACAAAGGTATGGATACAGAGTTAGCTACAGTGGACCAGGAAATTAGGTTCAAAACAAGGCAAGAGTATTGATATGCAGACATTTAAAAGGAATTGTTTTAAAACAAAAACAATATATTCAAGGGAGGAAAGAATGACTCACCAATGCTGCTTATCTAAGGCAGTTAAAGACAGTATCCAATTGAAAGAAAAGTCATATAATGCTCTAAAGATCAGCAGTAAGCCAGAAGATTGGAAAAATTTTGGAAACCAGCAAAGGATGATTAAAAGAATTTGAGAGGGAGAAATTTGAATTAGGCTAAAAATGGAAATAGAAAAAAAAACCAAGTGCTTCTACTAGTGAATTAAAAAGAAAGAGACTGGCTAAAAGTAGACATTTATCCCTTAGTTAAGTCTGGGGAATTAAAAAGAAAAAACAAGGCATTGAGCAAATATTTTGTGCATATTTGATGAAGACACAAGAAGTATGCCAAGAATAATGAGGGGAAAAAAAATCAAGGGACACAAAAGGGAAAGCAGAACTTAAAACAATCACAAAGAGGAATAATACTACAGAAAACTGATGGAGCAAATAGCTGACAAGCCTCCTGGGTCAGATGGTGTGTATACTACAGTATTAAAAAGGAAGTGCTGGCAGAGAAAATGACTGCATTCATTGCAATCTTTCAAAATTTTCCTGTACTTTGGAAAGATCCCTGTGGATCAGAAAATGACAACGTAGCATTTTTTTCTTGGTACAGTCATAGAGATGTACAGCATGGAAACAGATCTTTTGATCCAACTCGTCCATGCCAACTAGATATCCTAAATTAATCTAGGCTTATTTTTCAGCGTTTGGCCCATATCCCTCTAAACCCTTCCTATTCATGTACCCATCCAAATGCCTTTTAAATGTTGTAATTGTACCAGCCTCCACCACTTCCTCTGGCAGCTTGTTCCATACTTGCACCACCCTCTGTGTGAAAAAGCTGTCCTTCAGGTCCCTTTTAACTCTTTCCCTTCTCATTTTAAACCTATGCCCTCTAGTTTTGAACTCCCCTCCCATGGGGAAAAGACCTTGGCCAATCACCCAACCATGCTCCTCATGATTTTATAAACTTCTATAAGATCACCCCTCAGTCTCTGATGCTCTAGAGAAATTAGCCCCAGCCTATTCAGTCTCTCCCCGTAGCTCAAACCCTCCAACCCTGGCAATATCCTTATAAGTCTTTTCTGAACTCTTCTGCACAAGAAACGAGGAAGACCAACAGCCATTACACACCAGTTTTTTTTTTTAAAATTCATTCACGGGATGAGAACATCACTGGCTAGGTCAGCATTTATTGCCCACCCCTAATTGCCCAGAGTCAACCACATTGCTGTGGGTCTGGAGTCACATTTAGGCCAGACCAGGTAAGGATGACAGTTTCCTTCCCTAAATGACATTAGTGAACCAGGTGGGTTTTTTTCCAACAAAGGATTCACGGTCATCGTTAGATTCTTAATTCCAGATTTTTTTAATTGAATTCAAATTCCACTATTTGCTGTGATGGGATTTGAACCTGGGTCCCCATAACTTTATCTGGGTCTCGGGATTAACAGTCCAGTGAAAATACCACTTGGCCATTGCCTCCCCTAACATCTAACACTTGGAAAGTGCTAGAATTCATTATTAATGGAACTATTAGTAGACATGACATTATTGAATAGCAGGCAGGTTTAAGCAGCTGAAATAGCCTAATCATGCTCTTACTTAAATGTTCTTTGGTACTGGCAGCCTTCATGCAATGCACCTATGAAGTTATTCTAGAAATGTGCATTGCAGGCCTTCTGAACACAAACCTCACTTACATACAAGTCATAAATTCATTATATTGACTATGATAAGGATGATTGAATACCACGACAGAATAGTAATGATATCAATGACATTACCACCAGCCTGAGATCCTTGAGCTTTCCAATTTTCATGTTGATATTCTTCTTCTCATTGACAGGAAGTCGAATGTTAATCAGGTAATATTTATGTGCCACACTCCCCAGCTCCATGAAGGGAAGCAGATCACAATCATAGAGTTGACCCTGACTATCATGATGCTGTTCAGGACAAGAAATAATAGAATTGTACAAAATTAGAATTTATTATACTTCACATCAAAGTAACTGGACAGTTTAACACAAGATTAGACTTTTTCCTGCCTGTCCCCATAATACCAACTGGGGCTGCAATGTAGTTTCACGGACATTAAAAAGAACACTCTTCATTTGTGAAACTGACACAAAACTTCAGCAGCACAATGCTGACCCAACCCCAATCCATATGACTCAGCAGCAAGAATCCTGATTTTATTTTTAATTGATATCTCGAGACGTTTCTCTTAAACTGATCTCAGATTTATACAAAGTTGGTTGGCTCTTGGGCAATATCAACCAAGTGCAAAAGTTGACCTCAATGAACATGATCTTGAAATGGAGTGGCTTGGGGTTTACGATAAATACTTTAAAGCACCCACCTTCTAATGTTTATGATGATATTTTTGTATTAGCCTGAACTGTGATATTTGCCATGGGAAAATAACGTTTTCATGAGTCGTGAGGATCAAACGTGAAGAGCGCGTGCATTCGACCCAGTGAGGATATACGTATAGTGCCTGTGAAGTTGCACCCAGCAAATCTAAGAACTCAAAAGGCACACCAGTGGACCAATGAACTGTAGGAGATTTCACAGTCCTGGCCTCAACACAACATCCAGACCAGTAAATATTGCAGGGTGGTAACTGGATAAAAGCATGAATAGAAACTTTGGCTGACTTTTCCCTATATTTAGCTCCCTCCATACTTTTAGTTGTACTGCCTGACTGCCATTCTGACCAAGAACAACTAACTCAGGACAGATCAAGAATTAAAACCTCGAATCCCTTCACCTCATATTCATCAACTTCAGTGGGGCATTGTATAACTGGTTCATAAATGGAATCCAATGCATAATTTGGTTTGCACATTCATAAGCAATAATAACACTAATTAAATAATGCAGAGCTTTAAACAATGGATCTTCTATGCATATTGTATTAATGACATACTAGAGAAATAAGCTAGTACATACTTTTGGAGATGAGAAGTTACAATTCAGCTTCCGGCTTTCAAATGAATGGGCCATTTCTGTCCATTCACTAAAGCGGTCATCACGATAGCCAAGTGTAACATCCAGTGTCACCACAGCTCCCTCGCCTGAAGACCGAAAATAAAAAGCAATTTTAGTACTTGCTAGTTATTTTTGGAAATAACTCCTTCTCTACATACAGGGAAGCAACTACGACATAGCAAGAACAACAAAAATGCAGGGGTAAATATCTTTTCTTGAAAGCACTTGCCAATTTAATAGCAGTCTTTATAAGTCCACCAGTGATTGCCTGTGCAGAACATCTAATTAGGATTTTTGTCTTAAGTCACCAGTGTTCTTTGAAGTTTGCTTGCACATCTCAGAATGGTCCAAAAGATGGAGCATCTAGATATGTTTAGGACTTAACCAAAAGGGAGAGAAGGGTCTTCAGCTTTCTGTGTAGTGGTGCAAGCATCTTGCATTTGATGCTATAATTGATGTGAAAATACACAGTTGTAAACAAAAAATTATCAATCCCAACAAATACCTCCTTTTCTCCAATAGCACCATTGTCAACAACAGCCTATAGGGTAGAATAAATGTACATTGCATAGATCAAGTTTTTATTCTGGAGTTTAGAAGGAATTACATCAATGAAGTAATTTCCCTGAAATACAAGATTCTTAGAGGACTGGACAATTACAGATGCCGAGACACAGCTTCCTCTGACTGTATAGTTTAGAACTTTGAGGCGGAGTCTATGGATTAGGGGTTGGTCATTTATAGTGGAAAGGGACAGACATTCTTTCACACAGAAGGTTATGAACTTTTCTCACTTTCCTAAAAGGCGGCAAACACTCAAATCTACTCAAAGGCTGACTGTTAAAATTTCTGGGGATTGGTTTGGAAAGTGGCGTTGTGAAAGAAGATCGGTCATACTCTTATTGAATAGTTGAGAGGCCAATGTACAACAAATTAACAAATGTCAAGAGGTTGCAAAACTCACTAATCTGATAGCCTTGCCAGATTGCCTTCACCTCGAAGACATTGCTCCTAAAAGGGCAGAGACTACTAGTCTTTTTAGTTCAGCTACAGACGCCAACGATAACATTTCTTTGAGACAGTAAGAACTGCCAATGCTGGAGTCAGAGATAACAGTGTGTAGCTGGAGGAACACAGCAGGCCAGGCAGCATCGGGACCTTCTAGCCAGAAAATGTAAGGGAGTTAAAAATTTTCAGGGTGAGATGTAGATCCTGTTGTTAAGTCGTCAGTTGGATTTATCAAAATTCAAAACAGTAACAAAATTTGTCTCGGACAGTCTAATAGTATACTTTAATCTGCTATTACAACGTGACCTATTAAGTCAAATGCTTTGAAGGCTGAGCCTAGTAATTGAAACAGAAAATAATTTATGACTGAGATTATTTTAAATAGCATTTGTAACAATTATTCCAAATATCAAGGTTATATTACTGAATCAGGGATAGTAGGAACTGCAGATGCTGGAGAATCCGAGACAACAAGGTGCAGGGCTGGATGAACACAGCAGACCAAGCAGCATCATAGGACCAGAGAGGCTGACGTTTCGGGCCTAGACCTTTTTCTGATGAAGGGTCTAGGCC